TAATTCTGGGTCTGCTATTATTTGTGACCTTGAGCCGGGCACCAAACTCACCTATAAAAATGGGCCTGATCATCACCTGGGGTACATCCAAAATAGTAATCGACTTTGGAGTGGGACACAAAGTAACTTGCAGTTTCCCTATCTGTGAAATGGGTATAATCATAATAATAACTACACTTGTATAATGCTTATTATGTGCTTATTATGTGTTAAGAGCTCTATGTATTATAATCATTACAGTTGCATTAGCTATTATAAAAGACAACCCCCAAATCTCAGGAGCTTAATGCACTAGAAGGTCATTTATTATTCAGGTTGGCACCGAGGGGTAGAGTGGGAGGAGGCAGGAGGGTCATTTAGGTAGCAAGACTGATGGAGGATTTGTCTTTTTTATTGTCACCACCTGACCTTCAGTGTCTTCCTTGCACATTTGTTCGGCCAACAGGTGGAGGAAGAAGAGTGTGGAGAATCTTAAAGTCAGGGGGTGGGTGGGTGGATGGGTTGGTGGGAAGAGATCAACCAAAGGACTTGTATGCATATATGCATAACCCATTCATAACACAGACAATAGGGTGATGAAGGCCTGGGTGGAGGACCGGTGAGGGGATGGGGCGAAAAGGGGTCATTGGGAATGGGGAAGGGTGGGGTAGGACATATATAATGCTTTCAAAAATAAATATTTAATTTTAAAAAAAGTCATTGTGGGTTAAGCCTGCAAGGGATCTCATCATTGTGCCCATGTATCATTGGCCAACTCTATCATCGGCTTCCTGGCTATCTGTATGCACTCTTCTTCTTACACACATGTTAGCCTTCCACATTCTGTCCAATCCCTGCTTCCAACTTCAAGTCCATGATCTTTTGGGTGCATCTCTGTCCTATCTGTTGGATGGAGTGTGGCTCCTCATGGTCCAGGGACCCATGAGCCAAAGGAGACACGTTATCTGTGCCCCTATACCATGTTGGAGGATAATCCAGCAGGAAAAGACAATAGTGGAAGATACTGGCCCTTAATAGTTGTGAAATCTTGCCAAGCAGGCACCGTGTGTGGGCAGCACTGTGCGCCCTGGAAGTGGGTGAGGTTCCTGCTTAAGCCTCTGTGAGTAAGTGCCTGGGTCCTTGTTCTCCGTGCCCGGGGCTCTGTCCAGGGAGAGGGTTTTCTTTGTTGTTCTTGACCACGCCTGAAATGGACCTCGGTGACTGTGGTCTCCTTGAGGCTCTAAATCTTTTGTAACCTAGTTTTTACCCTTGAACTTTTCAGGCCCAAGTTTTAATGCTGTAACAGTAGAAGACTTAAAGGCCAGGCTTAGAGATTTTGCCAATGCAGTCCTCACAACAACTGGAATCTTCCTCTATGATGTCTAGTGTGCCAGGAGCTACACCTAGAGTTATTTCCTAGACCTTTCTGAAGCCTGTGTTATTTCTTAGCTTTCTTAACTCCATGCTTCTTTCTCTCTCTCTCGACTTAACGCCAGCTACCTTGAGGCCATGAGGCTTAGGTGGAAAGCTTATCCCCTGAGTCTGGTATTTCAGTTAAAAGTCTTTTTAGTCTTTTTTTCCCCCCCTGATTGCTTGGGGTCTAGAAATCGTCATCTTTTTCACCTTTCCTCTCTTTCCAATTTTACTTGCAAACTGGCTAATGCATGCCTGAGTTCCTCCCTTTCTCGAATACCATGCTAATCCCAGCCAGGCACAATCAGCAAACTCTATTACCATTATGTTTTTTCAAATCTCTTTCTTTGGAGTTTACAGGCTCAGTAGGCAAGGCAAGGGTTCTGCCTTCTGAGTTTTCATAGATTATCGTTTAACCAAAAATTCTACCGCCGCATAATACGGGTCCCCGGTTTTCTAGTCTTTGACTTAATGACCCGCTATCTGACTTATGAGCCAATGCCACAGATTTAAGCACCCTGCTTATGGTACCAGTTACTTTATTAGTTAGGGTAACGCTAGCTGTTGTATCAGGTAAACCCTAACATCTTCAGGCTGAACACAATAAACGTTGTCTTCTCATTCCTGTTGAGTCCAGTTGATAGCAGGGGAGGGAGGCACTCTGTTCCATTTATTGAGTGAGAGGCTTCAGCCAGACTGCCAGCAACCAGACTTGCAGGGTTTGACCACTTACCAGCTGTGTAAACCCAGCATTGCTCTGTGACTCAGTCTCCCCCTTTGTTAAAGGAGAGTGATAATAACACCCAAATTCATAGGGTTGTTGGGAAGTGCCAGGCATGTAGAAATTGCTTAATAAATGTTGGCACTGTTGGGTTTTGTTATATTCATCATGACCTCTTCTATAGGCACTGTGTTAGATGTTAAGCAACATGGTCCCCGCCTTCGTGAAAATTGCAGGCTGGTTGCGCCTTGATTTTTCATCAAATAATCATGCAAATGTAACTTTACGCCTGTGACAGTTGCTACAAAGGAGAGATGCATGGGGTTGTAGGAGTCTCTATGAGGCTCTTGATGTGGTCAGCAGAAAGGGAAGGCTTTACTAAGGAAGTGAGGCTTGCGTGAGGCTGAAGCATGGCTCATTGGGTTGGAAAGGTAGAAGAGGACTCTGTGAATACAGACAGAACGTGCAAAGGGCCTGTGGCAGAAGAGAGCATGACGAGGAAAATGGCCACTGTGGCTACTGTGGAGAATGAGGTGAGGGAAGCGGGTGGAGTTGGACCAAGCATCTGCCAGATTAAGGAATTTGTCTTTTCCCAGGAACACTGGAGTGTTCTTGAAAGGTTTTATGGAGGGAGATGATATGATCAGATTTGTGTCCTAAAAATCTTATTATAGATTGCAGTGTGGAGAGCAGACACCAAGGGGAGGATGCTGGGGGGAAGGCCAGTTAGGTATTTTCACCCCCATCTTATGCCAAATGCTTCCAAGTTGAAGATGACTCCTCTCCCCGTCCTCATGATTTGATTATTGGCAATTCTGCTTTATTTTTTTCCCCCTGATGCAAAGCGGTCCCTTTTATCTCCCCTTCAGCGTAGCATCTTCACTTCCCAGGTGGCATTTCTGATACAAGGGAGCAGAGGTGCAACCCATCAAACCCATCTCCAAACCAAAAATAACCCTGTCTAGCCAGACACCTCCCAACCTCTGATTCTCAAGCCCTTGCGTTCATTCCTCAAGGTTGGCACATTCACCTGTGGCCCTCATAGGTCAGGCATTTAAAACTGGCTGCTTCTGTATTAGAGAAACATGTTTATTTTTCCGAAGGACCTGAATTCCTAATCCCGGATGGAGATGTGTGTTGTGTAAATGATTGACTCACTCAGATGTCCGTCTGGTTGATGCTATGGAGAGGAGTCCTATATGGTACATTGTGCTGTCTATCCGAGGGCCTGAGGTCAGGCAGCGAGGGTTCACATCCCAGCATCATCCCTGGCCGGGCCCCATTGGGCAAGTGCTTCTCTCCCAGCCTCAGTTTTCTCGCCTGTAAGAGTGCCACCAACAGGGGTGTTCAGGGATAAAACAAAATACCACGATGTATCTTAGCACTTAGTGTAGCAGCTATTATTGTTGGGTGTCTCCTTCAGCACTCCTCAGGTTATATGGAACAGGCCATGCACCTGTTCATCTTTATAGGTCAGGCTGCTTCTTAGTCACCTGGCGTGTCATCGGCAGGCTGTCCCACTCACCGTGTTGGCTGCCTGTGGCGGGAGGAATCTGCTAATAGGGGGACAGTCAGTTTCATGGGATCGGCAACGCAGAACTGTAAATATAAAGAAGTCCTTTGTCCAATCTGCCTCTTTATGACTCATTGTTTGTGGTTTTGATGGCCTCTCCATCTCTCCTTTTCCTCGTCCTTCACTCGGGAAATAGTTCAGCGTCTGCTCGGTGCCAGGCCCCGGCATAGCAAGAAACGCGCACACCGCCACCAACATCTGGTCCGGTTCTGTGATTGGAAAGACCAGCCCCATTTGTTTTTCTCCAGAACAGCATGACGCTGATTGATTCGAATACTTAATCCGAGCCTGTTTAACCTAATGTTCCTATTGACTAACTCAGGCTGGCTTCTTCTCCCTCCTTCCCCAGGGCACAGACTCACCTGCCAATTGAGAGGAACTGAAGCAAGGGGCCACGGGAAGGCAGGAGGAGATACTATTTTTGAGGCCGCACTGACTGTGATGTTGAACCCCCAATGCCTTGTTATTTATTATTCGTTCTTTAGACTTGCGCAGTTTACCAAGTTTCATCAACCATTGCTATTACAATAGTATTCCTGACAGCCCTGTGGGGCAGTGGGTAGTAGGTATGCACATCCTAATTTTGCAGAAGAGGAAGCTGAGGGGGAGGGGAGGTGGCCTTCCTTCCCCAAGGTCACCAAGTTGTGGCAGCACCGGGCATCTGCTTGACGTCTGCGCTTCCTGATGCCACTCTTTGCGCATCGGTTTGGCTCATGTCTTTTGAGAACCTGGATCGAGTAACGCAGGGACAGGAACAGAGCACATGGGGTCCGACCTGAAGACCGATCAGGACATGGACGTTACCCCAGCTTTGGGCCCCCAGCCTTTGGTTAGAACCTTGAGTCTGATGACCCCCACTCTTCTAACGTTAGCCATGGGAGGGGAAGAGGCTCCTATGCCCCCTCTCCCCCCGCCCCAGAGCATTGTGATATGGGTTCCGTTGCTGATACACGAACATCCATTAGAAAGGAGAGGGGCCACCAGGAGAGGAGGATCCTGGGAGCTTCTGCTGGGCTCTGCAGAACACAGATGGCCCCTTAGCCACCTCCCCACTGGCCCAAAAGAATGGACCTCCATTTTTGCTGGAGTGTGTCTCCCTCTTCCCCATCTCATCCCCATTAAATGTAGATGATGGCTGGAAAAAGTGTGTCACTGTTTTGCTGTGTGTATAATATCCTTCCTGATTTTCTGTGGGCTCAGATTTCTCTGCCATCATCCTATGTCCTCAGGAATTCTTGGCAAGCTGAGAAAAATCCAGTGAGCCAAACGCAATGCGTGAGGTTGACTTCATGTTAACGGGTCTCAGCCACTTTCTAGAGGCATCTGGCCCGACCTGAGCAAGCTCTTTCCGGAGGAAAACACCAGCGCAGAGGCTCACGAAGCCCACATACCTCAGCTCAGCTGTAAAATGCACCCTGTTCCCGCGCAAAAGAGGTCCCCCCATGATGCACTGGGTGGGGTGTAGAAAGATGAGGTGTGGCCAGTGGGAGACAGGCTCCTACCCAGGTTTCTGACTTTTCTCGTTTTCAACATGCCAGAAGTTTTCCATTGAAAAGACAGTCACAACCAGTAATCCTTAGACATTCTGTTCACGGGGTGCCTGTTAAGATCTTAATCATTCATCATGTTTCCTTAAAGTAAAATGAGTTTTCTATGAGAGGAGAGGTAGGAGGTTATTGATTGTGTGGCGTATAGCAAAGACAGCTTCAGTTTGTTTTCATTTGGAATGAGCCGGGGAAGTATTTGTGAACTGCAGGGTTGCTGGCAAACAGGCAGATTGGTGGTGCGTGGTGTGTGCGCGTGTGCGTGCGTGTATACACATGTGCGCCTACATCGGCTCAGCAAAGTTGTCAGAAACCAAACATTTGCCATTGCGTCTAAGTTTAGGTTGAGTTTCCATAGCTAAAAAATTTTAGACTGACATATAGGTGGTTTTATTTTTTTTTAAATTATTTTTATTTTTTAAATATATTTTATTGATTTTTTACAGAGAGGAAGGGAGAGAGATAGAAAGTTAGAAACATTGATGAGAAAGAAACATCGATCAGCTGCCTCCTGCACAACCCCTACTGGGGATGTGCTCGCAACCAAGGTACATGCCCTTGACCGGAATCGAACCCAGGACCTTTCAGTCTGCAGGCCGAAGCTCTGTCCACTGAGCCAAACCAGTTTTGGCAATATAGGTAGTTTTAATGTCTTCCTACATCTAGCCTCCCCATCCTTGGAGACACCATCCCATCCCCATTAAATGCCTATGAAGGCTGGCAAAAGTGTGTAACTATTTTTGCTGTCTATATAATATCCTCCCGAATTTTCTGTGGGCTCTGATTTCTCTGCCACCCCATCATATGTCCTCAGGAATTCTTGCAAACTGAGAAAAATCCGGTGAGCCAAATGCGATTTGCGAGGTTGACTTCATGTTACGGGTCTCAGCCACTTAATTACACAGGAATTAATTATGGCTTTCCTGCTTTCTTTTCATGTTTTGGAACTGATCGTTTTCACTTTCAAGGCGGCAGATATTTTTGTAGGCTCAGGAAGAGGCCCCGAAACTGAGTTACCTCATGGGAAAAAAATGGTCCGCGTTGAGATTGGCCTCAGAAAGGTTACTCTTGACAGTCTCACCGTCCAACTGAGGCATTGCACATGTGTGTGCACACACACACACACATTCACATGCACACACACACATATTCACATGCTCACCCATGCTATGCAGGCATTGAAATAATTAGGATCTAATACTAAACCGAACGGCGAGTCTTCCCCTGCCTCTCCCTGCTTCCGGTGGATGGTGCCATGTGGTGCCTGAATCTGGACAGAGAGTTTGGTTCTACGGGTGCTTGGGTTCAGAGATGTGGGATGAAGCCACAGCTGGTGCCCGCGATGCGGTTCCGTGTTTGCACAGCTCACTGGTCCCGCAGCTACATGGAGCACCAGGGGAGCCCTGGGGGGTTGATGAAGTGGCCAACCTTCCCATCTTAGAGCAAAGGGAAAAAATGAGCAGCAGCCAAAAAACACCATGCCTGGGAGAGTCGCCAGAGACTGCCCAGATGGAGCCCTCCTCCGGCTCCGCCACTTCACAGTCGGCATGCTCCCCGCTGCGTTTGGGAAGATGTGCTGAGTGTTTTTTAACCATCACGAAGGTGGTGAAGAGAAGCAGAAAGGCAGAGCCGTACGTCTGTTCTTGGCCAGGCCAGGTGCTGGCGAGACAGCGATGACTGTGATGCAGTGGGTGCCCTTGGGAGGTTGCACCGTTTCTCAAACCCAGATGACGTGGGCGGTGAGGGTGGCTGAGACAGACCCCGAGCCCTGCCACAGTCGGCTGGGAACTCTGAGCAGAGGAGCCAAGGATGCCCTGTCGCCACATGCCTGCACTCGGTCACCTGCAGTACCCGGGCCACACGGAGTGGCAGGCGTGGCCCAGGATGAGTAACCGTGGCTACTGCTTTTCTGAAAGCCACCTTTATTCCCTTCCTTCTAGCTTCGCTTAGGAATCAGGTTGAACACCTACCTTGTGGCAGGTTTTGTGCCAGGAACTGAGGGTCCAGCAGTTGGACCACTGGACCCCCAACCTGTGAGGCTGTTTAAGGGAAGGTAATCGTTGACCAAGAGATTTGATGACAAGATCCATGGGACTTAACGGAAAGGGAGGGCAGGGCTCTGTGGGCTTCTGTTTCTTGATCTGACCCATGAGGGAGGAAGGAGTTGGGCTGTGGATGGTTTTCAGCTTGGTGGGGACCCTTTCAATTGGCATGCAGCCTTCCTGGGAAACTCCATTTGTGAAATATGAAAAAGCACCCAATACCATATGGAACCCAGTCTGAAATTCAGTGGGTGAGCTTACCCCTGAGGGGGCTTCCAGGAGCCCAGGCTATCCTAGACTTCTGTGACTTCATCATGACGGGTGAGGTCCCTTCCATGTCAAGTCAACACGATCTCGTTTCTGGTACTTGGAGCTGTCGTTGGCCTGGGCTAGCATCCTTTTCTGCATGTGGATGCCAGGCTCCCCCTCCTTATTCACTCTGCAGGGAGGAAGGAATCTGACTGTAGAAGCTGCCATCCGAGGAGCCTGCCTGCAGGGGGAGAGGAGGGTGGATGTGGAGTCGGCTTGCTATGTCCCTCTGGCTGTCCAGAGTGACCTTCAGCAGTAAAGGCCATGGACACTGTCATTCCATCTGCCACATTGGGTGGAGCCACCAAACTCCATCTCCACTCCGAATGTCCCACAGCCAGTCTCCTGACTGGACCCTCACCTTAGTCATGTTCTCCACCCTCTCCTCACCCCAGTCTATCCCTCCTGACACTCTGATCCGATCCGCCGCACTCTGATATTATTTCCCCATTGGCTGCAGGGTCAAGTCAAAGCTCCTCAGCTTGGCACCTCCTTGTTGTGCCTCAGTGGGATCTCTGGACACGTTCATTCCTCATTCTAAGCTCCTGCTTTGGCTCTTGTCCACCTGGAATGGCTCCTTTCCTCTCTGCCACACTGCTCCATAGCAAGCCCAGCACCCTTCCCAAGATGGGTGGCCCCAGAACAAGCATATTTTTCCCTTCTTTGAAACCCCTCAGCACCGTCTAGCCAACTGAAATGCTTCAGCTATAGATCACAAGATCCTTTTGTTGGAAACCTTTTGCTATGGCTGTGACCTGCCTCTCCCTTCTATGTAAGCCCTTTGAAGACACAATCTGGATCTCCCAGTTCTTCTGTCTCTTTTCCTGTCTATCACTTAATCAGTTCTCCCCAAATTAGGGCACAAACCCATGTATTCAGTGAAAGCGTTCTGATGGCTCCAGGTGGCCAGAGGTGAATGTGTCATCTTTGACCAGTAAGAACACTTGGTTTTAACTCGCCACTCTGACTTCAGCATGCATTTGGCAGCTAGGATCAGAGACCAAACTAACAGTGGTTTAAACAGGCAGGGAGTTGATTTTCTCTCCTGTAACAGTCTGAGGCAGGTAGGAAGTCCAAGGTCAGGAATGTGGTTCTACAACATTTAGGCTCCTTTGTCTTTCAGCCCTGCCCCCTTTAGCACATGGTTTGCATTCTCAAGGTAGCCTCTTGGTCCCAGCATGGCTGTCCCAGCTCCAGTCATCACTTATACATTTTAAGCAGAATGAAGAATGACCAAGGGTGGGGGGAAAGGGTGCCTGACAGTGGAATCAGCCCTTCTTTTAAGAAGCTGCACTGATGCCCTACCCAGTAATTCTATCTATCTATCTATCTATCTATCTATCTATCTATCTATCTACCTATCATCTATCTATCATCTATCATCTATCTTGGGCCAAAACAGCATTGCTCCTAGGGAGGCTAAGAAATTTATTTCTTTAGCTGGATATACTTTGCCTACCACCATGACCCAGTCAGAGTTCTTTTATTAAGAGGTTAGGAAGGGATATTGATTGGGTTGGCAGCCAGCAGTGCCTGTTGTAGCTAGTTAGTGGCACCTATTAGTATTTCAGGTTGAGGAGGTGCCTATCCAAGAAGGCAACGGATATTTCTGGTCCACGTTTTGCAATTTTCTGCCAGTAAATTCTAGAACTTTAGAGGTCAGGTTTCTCCAAGACCTCCTCCTCAGACAAGTAAGTGTATTTTCAGTGACTCACACGGAGCCTCCAAAGTCACTGAGTTGTAATTGGCCTCATAAAGGAGTATTGGCCAGTGCTCTTATCTGCTCATCCTTTAGCCCTGAGAATGGTCCTGGTGCTAGATAAGGATTCGCTAAAGCAAAGGTGGAGCTAGCCATACCCTCTGGATTACAGTCATTGTCCCCAGTACTTGCTAATGAGCATAGTCTTGATTCCATGCAACTTTGAGGCTGCCGCACAGATTTAAGGTACTACTTCTGTAGGTTTTAACAACCTGATCAGTTTAAGAAAAGTGAATTCTAATTTTTAAAAAGGACTGATTGGCTTTCAAAATCACTCTAGTGGGTAAAGGGACTCGGAAAGAACTTAGCCTGGGATCAGGAAGCACCCCACCTCAATTTATGGTCTGACCAGTTTATTTCCAAAGGTAAGCCTGGTCACTTACCAATAAGCTTTAGCTGGAACCACCCTTGCTTTTACCGTTGCTCATGAGGTCCTCTCTGCTGGGTAGGAGAGTCCCTTTACCCACTTCAGTTACTATTTTCAGGGTTTTAGTGTTTAGGGATGAGTGTAAAGTGTCTTGTTTGTGAATTACCATGGATTTGGGGTTGAACCATGGCTAGAAGCAAATAAGGGTGAGTTAGAGATGCCTCACTCACTGCTGGCCTCTGCCGTCTGTTTAACTAGAACAGCTCTTAGAGTCAACATGTAATATATTCTGAGCATTTCACAAGACGCTATCTCATGCAGTCTTCACAGCAGTCCCCTGAGGTATGAGCCGTCCTTGGCCCAGTTAGGCCTGGTGAGGTGATGTGACTTTGTCTAAGGTCCCATCTATACTAATAAAAGAGAAAGATGCAAATTGACCGTACCTTCATGATGCCCACTAGCCAATCAGGAGTGGGTGTGCAAATTAACCCAACAAAGATGGTGGGTTAATTTGCATACACAGGCACTGACTGCCCTGGGCCTCTGGGCAGCGTGGGAAGGCAGAAAGGCAACTCTGGGCTAGAGTGAAGGCAGTGCTGGCAGCCAGGGGAAGGAAGGCCCATTCTTGCACAAATCATCATGCATCAGGCCTTTCTATAAGTAGCCAAATTGGAACTTACACCTGGGGCTGCTGAGATGGACTTTATGCTCCTCTCACCTGCCTGCTCTGTACACCTTGAGAGCCTGGTTGAAAAGGGCCTGTGCTCTTGAGCAGGGATTTCTACCAGGGCCTGGTGTAAGTAGCCGTGAGTTCCTTAGATTCTGAGTTTTTTATTTCAGGGAAAATGGAAGGTCTGGACTTGGATGGGGCTAACCTGAGAGGACTTTGTGAAAGCACCCCCACTGAGGGAAATTGGGGGTCCATGGCAGGGGAGCGCCCCAGGCCAGAGAAGGGCTTTTATGAGGGCCCACTTATCTCTCAGCTACTGGAAATATCACATGGCAGGAAGCCCTTCGAATTGAGGCTGCTCCTAATTTTTAGCCAATGAAAATAAGTGCAATTTTTATTGGAGACAGAGAGACCTAGGTTTGCCAGACCCTGCTTCTGAGTGCCCAGGAGTGAATGGCCAAGGCTATAGGGTCATATCTCCATCCTGCAGTGAATGAAGACATTTATCAGGGCTTCCTAGTACCAGACATAAGAATGGGGTACTTTTATGCAATGTGCTTGCAGTGACTGTCATAACTGGCAATGTTCGTAAAATGTACTGACGGTAATTGCACTTTTATTTCACCCCCATCAAAGTCTTTTGTTTAGAGCAGTATATAATATTCTATAAATCTCCATGTAAACTCGACCCATCCATTTTTCACACGGGCCAGGGAGTAGCTTCGGCTGAATGCTGAGGACGTTTGATTTTATTTACAGACGTCGTCCTCCTGACTTGGTGAAAATTTAATCAGTCTGAGCCAGTTCAATCAGTCAGCTCAATTTTATCAAGCTGACTATGAGCCTCACCCAGTTCTAGACTAGGAGAGAGAAAGTTGAAAAAGCCCAGCTGGTATACTCAGTGGTTGAGTGTCAACTCAGGAATCAGGAGGTCACAGGTTCGATTCCTGGTCAGCGCACATGCCCAGGTTGCGGGCTCCATCCCCAGTAGGGGCTGTGCAGGAAACAACCAATGATGTTCCTCTCTCATCACTGTTTCTATCTCTCTATCCCTCTCTCTTCCTCTCCCTCAAAAAAACAATAAAAACATTAAAAAAAAAAAAAATGGAGTTCCTGCCTTCAAGGATGTTTCCATGAACTATTGTTGCATAACAAACTAACCAAAATGTAAGTGGCTTAAAGCAGCCTTTTTTGTCTCTTCCCCTGCACCCCTCCCCCCCTCCAACTTTGTGCATCAGGAACCTGGGAAGGGCCTGGCTAGGCAGTTCACCTCTGACTCATGTCTCTAGGGGAGCGGGGGCTGGAGAATCTGCTCCCACCATGGCTTCCTTGCTCATGTGTTTGGCACCATGATGCCTTTCCACCCATTCTATCCTCATAGCATTTCGTCTCCACATGCTTTGGGCTTCCTGCAGCATGGAGGTCTCAGGGTACTTGTCTTCCTCCCGTGGTGTCTGGCTTTCGAGAGGCAAAAAGGAGAAGCTCCCAGGTCAGTTGCAGCGCCGTCCAAACCTGGCACAGCGGCTCTTCTGCCCCTGGCCCAAGTTGTCCCAAGGGACAGAGCACAGTGCACAACTCACTTTCAAGGGAGTAGGAAGAGTTCCATGCCCGATAGGGGCGTGGCGCTGTCACTCCGCAGAGGAGCAAGGGCACATGGCGCTGGGAGAGATGGTTGCAGCCATCTTCGATAAAATACAGTCTCCACCAAGGACGAGGAGGTGCCATCCAGTAAGTCATAATTTGGGGAATAACCACAACAAAAATAGCACCAGCAAGCCAAGAGAGGGGCCCAGAGCTGGAGTAACAGGCTCACTAATGGGGTGGGGAATGGGGAGAGGGTCAGAGAAGTCTCCCGAGACCAAGAGGCAACTGAGCGGGGTTTGTGCGTTTCAGGCAGAGGGAGCAGCAGGTGTACAGGCAGGGTGGTGGGGTCCTCACGAAGGGTTTACCCCAGGAACAACCCCAGTGTCATTACCTGTATTCAATCTTAGTTGGATTTATGTTGTGTATGGATATGGCTATGGGTATATACACTGAGTGGCCAGATTGTATGAATTCATGCATGGGTGGGGTCTGGTCAGCCTGGCCAGAGGGAGGGGACATGGGCGGTTGGTTGGCCTGCCTGCTAGTCAAACTCTTGGTCGAGGGGACAATTTGCATATTAGCCTTTTATTATATAGGATATACACTGAGTGGTCAGATTATTATGCCTTCAGAGATCATAATAATCTGGCCATTCAGTGTACATATGTGTCTGTATTTATGTATGGCTACACAAATGTACAGATATATATACTTTTAGACAAAGACCTCCATTCAGTCTTTCACTCAGCAAAAACGAACTGAGACCTGGTATAAGCCAGTGTTCCAAGTGCTGAGGATGTGGTGGTGAAGGAAACCAAAGTGGTAAACAAAGGAGACGTGCTCACGGAGCTTACACTCTGTAATGGAGACCAGAGTCACCAGTGAATATTTCATATGTGTTGTGATTTCATATGTATTGTGATTTCACATGTATTTCATATGTATAGTGCTGAGCGACACAGTAGAGGCTGCCGGGGATGCTGTTTCAGACAGGGCAGTCAGGAAGACCTCTTGGAAGGTGGCACTTGGGCAGAGAGGTCCAGGCAGAGGGAACAGCCAGGACACATGTGAACTGCCTGGGCATCCACCTGCCACCTTGCACCAGCGTCCTCTCTGTACACCTGCCTGTTGGGCTCTCTGAGGTCCTAGGGCTGGATGGGGGTGGGACCGACCCCCTGCCCCGTGCTCTTTGCTGGTCTGAGCAGGTTGGGGATGGTCAGCTCCAGACCTTGATCTCCAGGGCGATGGCCTCTCAGGGTGGATTCCATCTCCACCTCACCCCCGCCTGTTCCCGGCACTGGAGATTTGTTTTCACTTGGGGAGAAAGTGCCTCTTCCAGAGCGTCAGCCTGCTGTTCCCGGGAAACTGGCTCCTTCCCAAGAGGAGGAAGTGGGGTGAGCAATCTCAGTAATCAGGAAGTGTGGCTGGGATGCCAAAGAGGAAGTGATGACTCAGAGGAAGGTGCATAGCAGGTCCCCTGGCTACTCATCTTCTGCACACATGCCTGCATTCATTCATTCATTCATTTGTTCATTCATCCCCAAACATGTATTGAACATGTGGATGGAAGCATGGAGACGGTCTAAGTCAGCTCTGCCAGCTACAGCTGTGTCATCACAGCAAGTTGGCTAGCCTCTCTGAGCCTTTGTTTCTTCAACTATAATAGAAAATGGGTCTAGTACCTATTTTTTCAGAGTTGTGGAGATTCGATGAGAAGAAGCCGGTGGGGAGGGGGAGGAGAGGGCTGGATTGTCAGATTCAGCAAATGAAAAGGACAGGATGCCAAGGAATGTTTTGAACATGTTTAGCATCAGTTACTCCCTGAATATTGCTTGCTTATCTGATGTTCA